CGTTACCGAGATAGGCGGCATTATCCGTAAAATAACTACCTTTCCTGCCGGCTACTTATAATCATACCTTTATGAATAAAATAACCATAAGTAGCTCGAGCACAGTATAGAGACATGTTGCTAGATGCGAGCTTACTTTTCATTGGCAGAAATCGTAAAAAAAAATCAGAAGTCCGACATGGTTAAAAGTGGAAAAAGTCCAAAATTTGGAAAATTTCCGCGCTCTCGCCGCACACGAAAGATGTTTTTATAAAATTACAACTGCCGGAGACTCTAAGTGCAAAGCTACAGCTGCCTAAATAATCAATTTCACCAAAAAATCCTGTCTTTGAAGCAATAAATATCAGCCAGTTTTTAGGAAATAATGCCTCTTATCTCGGTAACGGAAAAGACCTGAGAAGAGATATTTTCGAATTAGTCATGTACTAATAAGTAACTTGCAAAAAAGAATTTTCTTCAACTCGTCTGCAAAAAAACTCCAGCCAAATCTATTTCGACTCCATATGGTGTCTGTGAAAATAATCTTCTATAGGGAGTAGAGTTTTTTGAAAGCAAAAATAAAACATTTTGTTTTTGTGGTAATGAGAATCTTCATTTGCTTTTGCTTATATGGGTTTCCCTTCAAGAAGATTGAAATTGGCGGGTAAAAGGGAAGAAAGCTAAAAGTCGCTAAAAAAATGTTTTATAAAGCAGAAAGCCTTAGTCAAAAGTAGAAAAAGATTTAAGAAGACGGCAAAAAGCGTTTACTAAAGCTTTTTTTAGAAATTTAGTTAAATGCAATGACACGCTACCGCTTTCAAGTTTAGTAGGTTATTAAATCCTAAAAGGATTTTTACTAAACTTTCGAAGCGGTAGCGTGGCATTATAATTTGCTAAACCGAAAAGGGGTTCAGTAATGACGCTTTTTGTTTACTATGTATGCCTGGTGTCTGGTATATAAATAAGAGAATATAAGAGTAGAATACTATAAGAAAAGAAACGGGGGACGCGGCAAAAAAGGAATCTATAGAGAACCTTCGTGTTGCGATAGGTCCTGTACGGAACCCTTTTTTTAGAGGCTACTCTGTCTGTCCTTTCTGTCTATATAAAGCGTCGTTTTGCCCAAAATAAACATGCTTCTTCTGAGAGTCACGCGAATATCTGTTGGTTGTCCTTCGTTTCGTAGGTTAAGATCTCACAGTATCGCTCGAGTGATAAGCAGCATAAACTTATACACGAACTCAGAATAAAACCTTACGAGAATTTTCCTTTCGTACAGGATTTTTAAGAATTTCCATGGGAGTTTTAGTTACTTTGACGAGAATTTCACTTATATGAAAGGGACTATGTATTCCCAACGCATGCCTTACAAGAATTGTGCTTTCACATAAATTCTGACAAGTGCCAGCTGAATTCAAGTCCGTTATGCGAGAATTTTGTCTGCTTATACAACTAACAGCAAAACTACACCTTTTTATTTTCTGGCATTCACTCGCTGCTCATTAACCTCTCGTCGTGTCTCCAACGCTAGAAAGTACCCTAACGCCTTCCATGTCGTTTCTCCAGAGTGACTCATTTATCGTGGATCTACGTGCCATTTATCAGACTGTATCGATGAGGAAGCCAAAAACACAGCACTGCAAATTTCCAGCCCTATACTAACACATCAACACAATATTGCATTAGACTATTTAAATTAAACCGACTGTTCTATTTTGTCTCACTTTAGCGTGTACTACTCCATTACTGACTAATAGCATATATGCCACTGGACATTATCCGAACTCTGTGACAACAGGTGATTTGAATAATGATAACACAGCTGATTTGATCATTGCAAATTCCGGTGATAACACCGTCAGCATATTGCTCGGTATCGGCAACGGAATATTTCAGAGTCAACCAGTCTATAAAAGTAAGAGTTATCCAACTTCTGTGACAACCGGCTATTTCAACGATGATGACAGACTTGATTTGGCTGTTACAAATTCCGCTGATAATACCGTCAGTATATTGCTCGCTAAAGGCCCCCAGACATTTGAAAGTCAAGTCACATATGTTACTGGGAATTCCCCCAACTCTGTGACAGCAGCTGATTTTAATGGTGATGCTAAAACTGATTTCGCTCTTGCAAATTCCGGTGATAACACTGTCAGTATATTTCTCGGTAACGGTGACGGAACATTTCAAAGGCGAGTCACATACCCAACTGGTTATTTTCCAACTTCGGTGACAAGCGGTGATTTCAATGGCGACAAGAAAACTGATTTGGCCGTTGCGAATGACGACGATACCGTCAGTATATTGCTCGGCAACGGCAACGGAACATTTCAAAAGCAAGGGAGATATGACACCGGGAATAGTCCCAATTCGGTGGTAACAGGTGATTTCAATGGCGATAACAGAACTGATTTGGCTGTTGCAAATTCCGGTGGTAACACTGTGAGTATATTGATCGGTAATGGTGACGGAACATTTCAAAGTCAAGTCGGATATGACACCGGAACGAATCCCAAGTCTGTGGCAACGGGTGATTTCAATGGTGATTCCAAAACTGATTTGGTCGTGGCAAATTATATTGATAACACTGTCAGTATATTGCTCGCTAAAGGCCATCGAAATTTTCAAAGGCAGGCCGCATATGCTACTGGGCGTTCTCCGATTTCCGTGGCAACAGGTGATTTCAATGGTGATTCTAAAACTGATTTGGCTGTTGCAAATACCGACAATCACACCGTCAGTATATTGTTCGGTAATGGCGACGGAACATTTTAAAGTCAGATATGATACCAGGGATACTCCCAGTTCTGTGACCACAGGTGATTTCAATGGTGATTTCAAAATTGGTTTGGCTGTTGCAGACAGAGCATGGATACGTGTACTTGTACTGTAGAGCAGTACTTGTATTTTGTACTCTATACTTTCAACAAATACTTTGTACTTGTACTGTGAGTATATTCCAAGCACTTCAAGTACTTTGATTCCATTCATGAGTAGTTACGTAGTTCCTAGTTGACGGATGATGTGTCAGTGAGCTAATATCTATGTGTGACTGCATTTTGTTACGCTTTGTTCATCTGTTTTGTTGGATTATCCTGTCTTCATAAATCCAGTTTCATAAATCACATATTTATGGAATTTGTAAAAAATTTAATAAAACTTTTCATTTTTCTGTAATTTCTGGGTTAATAAATTCATCATCCAAAAATTTATTCATACGAAGCTAGTATAACCCGGTTTTTCGGAGTATCGAGTTTCTACGAGGGTTATTGTTATCGGCTGCTAAAATATTGGGCAGGTTGTTATTTTTGAATAACTTAAAGACGATGAAAGATACAGATCTGCGGTTTTTGGCAGTCGAAAGAGGACAGCTTAGCCTATATTTTCATGCGCATAAACATTTTTGAAAGAATTTTTCAGATCTATTTTTCGAGGATCTTTGGAGAACCAGTGTCTAAGTCAACAATTTACACAGCAGTCTATCGATTTTTTTTCATAGATAGATAGTTCAAAGTGTTTTCTACAAAATAAGATCTAAACGAAAGTTTCATTTTGCTTAGTTTGGGAGCTTTGAATGCTTTTCCCGACCCCCTGCAATATCTCTATTCTTCGCTTTAGGACCTTCAGGAATGCATGAAAACACAGGTTATCGACCACGCTGGATCTCCTGGCAATGTTAGTTTTCAAAACAAAACTCAAGAATTAAGTAAAAACCTATACTAGATGAAACAGCCCATTGTCATCGAAGGTAGATCAAGCGTTGCCAACGATAATTCAACAGAGTTAGATTTTTGAAAAAAGTTGTTGGAACAAAGTTTGTTGCAAGTAGTCATGACCGTAACCCAACATCGAGCTTTTTTAAATTTTTTGCTTTATTTGTTTTAAAATTTAAAAACTTAAAAATTAATTTAATTAAGTTTTGAAATTTTGAAATTTTAAACAAATAAAGTAAAAAATTTAAAAAAGCTCGACGTCTCCCTTAAGTTATTTTATGAGTAGAAACAAAGTACAGAAAACTTCTGAATTTTTTTCAGTTCTCGAGCGCTCGTATATCGACAGATAAGTCAGAGAAAAAATTTTTAATTTTTTTAATATAGTAGTCCAAGTCAAAAAAATGGCCAGTTAACGTTCGCAAAACGACAAAAAACGGCCAGTAAATGATAAGAAAACGATATATTTAAGACCCTAAAACGGTACGAGTTTTAGGTTCTGAAAACGGTCTTTTTCTTTTTTATATTTATATTCTGTCTCTGTTCTTTTCCGTACAGTTATATTGTTTCTCTTTTTTTTCATTTATGTGCTGACGTATCTTTTTCTGTCGTGATATCCACGGCTTGTCCAACGGTAACGCTGTGACATTTTTGACACAGTAATTTGTATTTTTCTCAAAAACTGTAGAAGCTAGAAAGTTTGTTCTGGCGCCATTCGACGCAGCTCACCGAACTCTGCTAACAGTATAAAAATAAAAATTTTCGGTTCAAGGCTCAAACTTTTAGAAAGATTTTTCGCCGAGTAACGCTGTGAATGAAAAGATCCCTATCTTTTGAGAACTCCTTATACAATTCTGATTTCCAACTGAGCTGTGCATCTGAACTAAGTTGTCCTACCAAAGAGCTGCGAAAGATTTTCTTTTTTGCAATTCATCGATGCTATTTTTCGCCGGTATTGATAATCTTCTTTATTCCATCGAAAATCTGTCTTTTATTCATCGAATCTATCAATGTTAGTGATTATTAATTGCTATAATTCAAAACATAAAAAACGAGCAATTTTAAGATTAAGGTATGTTACGCTTCACTTAAAATAAAACTAATTTATAAATGTTCCTGGTGAAATAAATTAAACATCTTCGACGAACGTTGCGGTTTCAGGTCGGTCTTTTAAACTTGCTGTTTATTGTAATTTCAATATTTATTTTTATACACACTAATAACATGCGATCCATTCTCAGTTCGCAGTAGCTATTTTTGTGAATAACTCACTCATGCTGCTAGTCTTCTCATATCGAGCTTGATGGGTTTATTTTCGCTTAAGAAAATGCTCTGATTATGTGATACGGACAACTCATATGCTGAAACCGAGAAACTGTGACGATGGGAACGATGAATCAGAACATCTGCACCCATCTTGGGCGAAAATAAACCCATCAAATCCGATATGAGAAGACTAGCAGCACCGATGAGCGCACAAAGTCGATAAACAAGCTTCAAAAATTAGAGATACCACAAGTCACCCTCTGATGATGTCTAGTAGTTATTCGATGCTAGGTCGACACATCCATTTCCCGTCAGATTTTCTCTTACTCAAACCTGTCACAAATGCATCTATCCAGTTTCACTGCTTAATTAATTTTACTTCAATCATGGAAGAGATGACATGAAAATCTTGGCTGTATCTTTTAACAGAAACATTAAGGAATTAAATGCTGCTTGTTTTGCGTTTGACGCCTTTTGTGAAAGATGATAAAACGTGTATACAGACTCATTCTTCTTTCATTTTTTGGACATTCAGGCGTCCGAGTGCGTTTTTTGCGCAGAAACTTACAGCCTTTTTTCCACTCAGTTTTTATCGAAACCATTTTTCAGCTGTGACTTTCTGTTAAGTATCAAGTTGTAGAGTATTTGAAATGCGTTTTAGATGAAAGAAGATGCAGGAGAAAAATGACGAAAGCTGGAAGACAATTAGTTCTTCTCAGTTGCATTCAGTTGCAGTGACGGATAGATTTTCACTGCGTTTTCTGATTAGTTTGTTGTACGTTGGTATTACTGATGAAATGAGCCGGGGTCAGGTAGCACAATGGTAGTGCATTGGTCTAATAAGCCAAAGGTTGTGGGTTCGAGCCCCATCTTGACCATCAACTTTTTTCTTCCTTTTTCTCACTAACATCACTCAACTTCGTAGTTCAATCGACTTGATTTTCCAACTGATAGTTTTTCATAGAATCTTCTCATACCAAGCTGAACTTCATATTATTCTTCAATAAAATTAATGAGAATAATCCGAAACGTATATTCATAACGTGTTGTTCGTTCAAGTTTAGATGGTTGAAAATGCTATCGAGATTTTTTAAAGATATAATTATGTCAACATGACAGAGTACACATCACCATCTATCTGTCTCATTATGTATACGTTCAGGATAAAATAGAAATATTCCAAAATGTGTGTTTGATACGGGGCATGTAAATGTCTGCCCTCGACCTAGTTGTATTTTACCGTAGGTATATAGCAGTTTGAGATTAAACGGTTTCATAGATTTTAGAAAATTCATTATCATCAATAAATATTCAAATATCAATGCCATCTGAGCCACGCAAAGTGCTGCCTCAAAAGCAAGCCCTTGTGACCTCTTGTAACCTCTAATGAACGAAAACGAAGCAGCATAGAAGGACCCGTCTTGCTGAACTTTTTCATAACTGATGGAGGACTACTTCCCCAAGCAGTAAGGGGACACCTCCTATATCCTAATCGGGATATATACATGGAATATAACTATATACCGATCCGAATATAGAAAAGATTAATATCCCGATCGGGATATAAAACACAAAATTTCGCCGCAAAAACGATTAAAGAAAAAATGATGACGTTATGGGGAAAAATTGGCATCACCATTAGAAAGAGCTCGAAAAACTACATCGGATTCTGTTGTGTTCGGTTAAAAGTGTATCAGGCACCCAGCAACTATTTTTGCACTGGGCAAACATTTTTTATCAAATTTTCCCGATCGAGAAATAGACTGTTAGCGTTTTATTGCTATAAATGGGATCTAAGAACACTCTTGATCTAATCGCTTTTCAAACCGACCGTCTTTTTTTATTTCTTCCTTTTCGGTGCAAACATATATTGAAACACATATTTCTTTTCTCATGCGTGGACAATATATAAATGTGCTTTGTGTTTAACGAGGAATTTTCCAACTACTGATTCGTGCAGATAAACTGCCTTATATTTTTTGTAAGTGAAGTACAACTTGGTTACAACTCATTTATGCGCATACTGGTAGAGCAATAATATGCCTTTCAAACTAATTAGATCTGATGAAAAACATGTTAATGTGAAAGTTAGAATTACACTAACCAAGAAAAATGTTTTGATATCCTGATAGGGATATAGATTTTTTTAATATCCCGAACGGAATATCGAATTATATCCTGATCAGGATATAATTTCAAACTATATCCTGATCAGGATATAATTTCAAACTATATCCCGTTCGGGATATTGGAAAACGTTTGCTGTAAAAAAAGGCATCCAGATCGGGGTATATCCCGGTTGAGAAGTACATCCGATTGGGATATGTCTCACGTGCATCCGTTCTTTAACAGCGCGGGAAAGAGGGGATAGTCTTAAAGCAAGGTTATAAGTTTATAAGGACCGTTACTGTTGTTCGCAACTTGTGAGCAGATGTAAAGCACTTGGGCATTATCCCTCATTGAAGTAGCATGTTGAGAAACTTGTGAACTATACATGCTCTTTTCAAGTCAAATAATCAAGGGCTTTATCTGGATACACTCTTGAAACCTTGGACACAAATAATTCTTATTCTGTAGGACGATCAGTAAATAATAGTAGTCGGAATGTCAATGAATAATCACTATAATAAAGTTACTTATTCATGTCTTTATTTGAACTTCATAAATAAACAGACCAAGATATGAGCGAAAAGTATTATACAAATGTGGTAACTTCATAGTTCAAATATTTTGCTATCAAAATCAATTTGGAAATTACCAGTTATTTTAGAATATATTTATGTTACTTCGAATAGTGAATAATACAGTTTCTATTATTATTTTGCCATAAAAAATAAACGTAAATTGAAAAATAAATCGTAAATTGAAATTGGCGGAATTAAAGCTTCAAAGTGTGGAAATCAGACTGCCCATATAACAAAATGGTTATCACAAAATTATGGTTAATCCTTGATGCAATTTGAGAAAATTATTTTTTGTGCCCGGCGTTTTCATTTATTTGTGCCCGATGCTACTGATTAGTGCCCGGTCCGGGTACAAATAAATGTTTTCACATTTTTGTGCCCGGAAAAAGAAATGTGCCCGTCAATTGCATTGATTAGTGCCCGGTTTACGATTTTTAATTGAAATTTCAAGAAACAAGAGTTTTGTGCCCGGTTTGTTCGCGAGACTCTGTGTTTAATGGATACTACCAAAAAAACCAATTACATATGTACAACATGATAATGTTAGCGACATAAAGCTGATGTTGCCTTTTTTGGACGTCCGCGTCGTTTACCTAAATCATCCAGTTTTCCTGGAGCCGATACTACATAAAAACCAAAATGCATCATAATTCCAACTGCATGTTTGCAAATATAAGTTTTCAAGTTGGTCTTGCATGAACACATCATAGGTATGATGACCAATCTTCCAGCATACAACCATGATGAGAACTCATCAAATTGAGTCCAAGGCATTGTGTTATAAGCATGTAGCCAAGTACTAGATGTATATTGTTTACAATATGATGATGGAACAACATGGATATGGCCGTACCAGTACAAAATCGAACTCTTATCCAGACCATTCTTCCATTTCCATGTAAGCAAAAGTTCCTTATACAACATGGACATTTGTACGATTGAATCTACTTATATACATTGTTATCATTTTCACAAGACAGTCGTGATAAAACCGGGCACAAAACAGTGATTTTCTTCTCTTTCTATTTAAAAAATGAACCGGGCACAAATCGGTGAAAAAACCAGGCACATTTCTTTTTCCGGGCACAAAAGCATGAAAACATTTATTAGTACCCGGACCGGACACTAATCAGTAGCATCGGGCACAAATAAATGAGAAAGTCGGGCACAAAAAAATTCTCACCCATGCAATTTACGCGAGAAATGATTACAAGTCGCGCCGTTATGATAACGACACATGCAAGTAATCCAAAACTAATATCATCCGGGATTAACCAAAATTTTGTGATAACCATTTTTTTATATGAACAATCCAATTTCTATACTTTTAAGCTTTAATTCCGCCCTTCTCACAAGGTCATTCCGGCCATATGTCGTTTTCTATATAAATTAAGAGTTATATGAAATATCCTCAGTTATTTTACGAGGCACAAAATAAAATAAATTCACTGCTTGTTTTCCCATATTGTCTATAGAAATGAAGGTTGGACGCTGAGAACGAAATTTAACAAGACTAATATGAATTAAATATATTTTTTATTTTACGGTTCCATCAGGATTAACAAAAAATATGAAAAAAAGGATTACATCATGTACCTGAGACTGTTCAGATTATGAAATATTGTTTGAATATAGCAAGCATATTTTAAGTTATCATATAAAAAACAATAAATATGTTGAATGATTTCTGAATGTCTCTATATGTTCTATTTTTGTGTCTGTCTACCAGTGTATATCAATAAAATCATTTGGGTTACCATGATGACCACGATGACCACGATGGCCACTATGACCACGAGAAGATGATGATGATGGTTTTAAGTTTTGTGTTGTGAAATGTATATCAATAAAATCATTTGGGCGACCAGGATTATAATAGGAGCTATTACCACCATAACCAGTATTATTACTATGATGATGATGATGATGATGGTGTGAACTAGAGTATTGTGTATAACCAGACATCTTTACGTTTCTATGTTAATTAAAAGTAGAATTGTTTATTGTTAATCGCTTACTTTCAGATGGATGTATTTTATTGCAGTTTATTGGTAAGAATACTAATAACTAATAATGGAAAAATGATGTAAAGACATGTTTTCGTTTCATATTTCAAAGTAATGGTTGAATAACTTTTTCTCTCTTCTTTATCTCGTTAAAGATATTCACACATTAAGTAAGAGACATGACATAAAACAAAATCATGCACTTTTTTATTTTCTCCATTCATCGTTGATTCACCTGATTCAGCCTATTAGAAACAAATGACGTAGGAAAAATTAGCTTGATATTCTAATAATTTTAGTAAACATTTTTGCTCAAACATGTGTCATAAAAGTAAATACATGAATCACAGAGAGCACGATAAGCTCTATCTACCTGTTGTATTGTGAATAATTCGAAATTTTGTATGACTAAAAGAAACTTAAAAGAATGACATGTTTCTACGACATTTCTTAATGAAATTAGTATTTTATCAAACATTCTCTCTCGAATATGTACCATAAATGAAAAATAGTGTATTCTATATAACTCAACGAGAGTTATTCAGTCATGTGTCGGGCACTGCTTCAACGTTCCATCTATTCGATTAAAATGCAAATTCTACCGAAAAATGTTGAATCATAAATACTACTTTTGATTTTTAAAACTCTTTTTATTACAGAAAATGATACCAAAGACCGAAGTCGATTCGATTCAGCTTTTTTCTTATTGGACGAACGAAAGACATTTTTTCTAAATCAGAGACTTGTAATTTAGAAGAATTGAATTAAAACTCATTTTGTTTGTTTGGTGCGCTTTCGAATAGTTTTCCATCAATGGACGTTGTTTTTTCTTAAAAGTAAATAAACAAATTTCGTTTATTTCCTTCTTCACTATTGACGTTTCTTGATGGAATCTCTTAGCTTTTGTGTCCATTCTATGAGCAAAGTCACCTAACAAATCTCTTTTAATTCAATTTCTCTTTTGAATTGACACCTGTTACGACAAAGTTCAAGAGAAAGAATAGAATCTAAATTAGTTTTTCGAATGCACCTTGTCAAAAAGAACGCACCATCTATCCTCAGTCCACTAAACAAGTCAAAGTAACTAGCCTCGACGATTTTATTTTACATTGAACTCTTGAAAAAAACTAGTAAATAGTTCGCTTTCTTTTGAAAAGATTCCGTAGTTCCGGTTCTTAGAACGAGAATGGCTGACTGATTACTGTTCGAAAGAACTGACCTTCAGCTGTCTCATCCCTTCTTCAGATAGAATAGATGCTGTGTGATCTACATAGTAAAAAAATGGGATGAACGGTATTTGTAAAATTGTGTTAGCGATAGCTAGCTGGAATTTTTAAGAAATAGAAGATAAACAATTGTGCTTTTAAGCGAAAGATAAATGGCTAGAATCGTGAATAAGTCGTGATAGACTGTATATTCGTATTCCAAAATGTTTAGATGCTAGATTAGGTAAGTGTACATCATGGTTTTTATTGAGAATTTTGTAGTTCAAAAATATTGTCATCTAAGTTGGCTAACACGTGCGTTCGCAGCATTTAGGTTGCGACCAACTTCAAGACTTTCGAATTGTGGAAGATTGAATTGAGCGTCTTTTTCCTAATTTTCACCATGGTAAGATTCAGACCCTGTAAGTATAAAAGAACTTGTCTTGTTTATGCATTCAACTATCCTGATGACGAATATTGTGGTAAAAATTCATAAGCCCTTTAGTGTATGAGGTAAACAACTTTTGATGTTTAGTGGTATTTTTGTGCTGTTTATTATTTTTACCCTACCACAAGCATAAAAATCCATCTCTTGTCGATTGAAAACGATCAGATACTTGTTCTTTCAAATTCCGTGTGAAAACAGTGCTTCAACTTTGTGAGTTTGTGATCTTCTAGAAAAATGGTTGAAGCAGTTTTTTCACACGGAATTTGAAAGAATAAGTATCTGACCTTTTTCAATCTATAAGAAATCTTTTTTTATGCCTATGGTAGGGTAAAAATCTTCTTCTCAAATACGACATGGATCTTATTAATTGGAAGTAGAGTGTTGAATAAAATGAAATAAGTCGGTAAGGTAGTTTAAATCGATGATTAGTTCATGTAGTTTACACGGTCTGCATTTGTCAGCTAATGACTCTTAATCCAAGTGTAAATTTTTCAAAGATAACAGGTTTTACAGAAGAGCTATGCTACGTTCAAAAATACTTAACAGCTGATGAGGTCCATATCATCTATCTTATCATGCTAATAGAAACCAAACAACATTATTTTCCTCTTTCAATTTTCCTTTCTGTCTACTCTCTAAAAAAGCGCTTTCCAGAAACTCTTTTGGAATATGGAACTGAAATACGAATTCTGCAAGTGACTTTGGAAACCGAAAGGATATTTTAGAATACAGTAAAGGGTATACCTCGAAAACCCAAAAAGTTTTGAGGAAAATATTCGAAAACTGAAATGGTATCTTCCGAAATCGAAAGAGTATTGTTAGAAACCCTTCTGGAACCTAAAATTTTCGCTAAAAATCGGAAGGCTATCCAAAAATCCTTTTCAGTTTCCGATAATACCCTGTTTGATATTCGGAAATTTTTCTGTAAAACTCTTCGGTTTTGGAATCCTTTGTGTTTCCGGCAGAACTCTTTATTTTAAGTTTGTTCATGATGCAAAAGTCAGTTTCATCACAAAAAGCAGATCGTCAGAGTATCTGGAATTGTTTAAAAGTTCAATGTGTTTTTGTGACGACTCTCCAGTAGATACGTTGCATTCTATTTTACTCAGTTTCGTCCTCGAGAACAGAATGCAATGAAGGATTTTGCTTCAGTATCTCGAGTACACAGCAAGTTTCTCGTTGTCCAGAGTTTGCTAACATGAGATTGGATTGGAGTATATAGCAAAAATAAATAAATGTTTCTTTTGGCCCATTTATTTTCCTTAGCTAACTAACGAAATGCACAGTGGGCAATTTTTCATAGGCAGGCGGACATTTCGTTTAACTCAGTTTTACTTGACTCAAAACAATGCCTCGGTAGGTTTTCTTACATGCTCTGAGACCAGAAAATTTTCAAAAGTCCGGATTTTGAGGGGTTTTCCAAAGACTCGGCCACTCCCCCCCCAAAAAAACTATGATGAAAAATTTTAAATGCCATCATTAGATTCACCATGGTCCAAAACCTAGAGAAAACGGGTTTTCACAATTTTTGAACACTCGCAGATTACTGCAAAAAACTTCAGCTCAAACTTTAGAGAGAAAAACGCTGTTTTTGGAAACTTGCGCAGACTTTCGATGAAACTGATTAAAAGACCTACCATTAGATGCAATTTTTCACACTGATTCCGAATATGTCCTTACTTTTTAGCCAAAGCGTTTTTGTAATGAGAAAAACTGTAAAAAACCTCTGAAAACCTAGTTCTCAATTAAAACTCAGTTGCGCATAAATGTGCTAGTATGAGTCGATCCAGCATGTCTTGAAGAATATTTACTGAAAATTTAATCGCCGTACGAGTGGTGCGCGTTCACTTTACCCAATGCCTCTTTTGGAAAACACCTGGCATAGCAAAAAACCAATTTTTTTTGCAGGCGTTTATCTCTACTACTCTGATCAGTTTTTCCGGATTTTTTTATTGCATTTAGGCAGTTTTGGTCTTTCTTATCTATGCTCAAACTAACTGAAACTACTGCATGTTCAGCTCTCATGTCCACATATCTTCTCATTTTGAAACATTTCACTTGTAACTACGTTGCATCGTTGTTTTTCCTTCTAGATGAGTTCCTCTGATTATTATTCTGGAACATTAATGATGTTTTGGTGTGGCTACGTGTTTTTATTGATAATGTAGCGAAAACTGGTCGATTCAAAGGTGAATGCGTTTTTAAAAATTTGTCTTTACTCCAGCTTTTAAAGATTTCTTCGTGTGAGTAATACGAAACTTATTAAAGGAAAAACAAGTAGGATTCGACAGAATGACCACAATGTTGAATAGTCAGACAGTATTTGCTCGATAAATATACCTCTTGCTTTTTCCTGAGTTAATCTCACCACTCTTATTGTTGAAAAAAAGATTGATAGAAATAGGTACAACTTAGCTAAAGGGATCATTTACTCCTTCTCAGTTCTAGGTCTAAACACTTTTGGAAGAAAACTAATATCTTCTAAAGAGCTTCTCTTCAAACCTGAGCAGCAACTTTTTACTTTGTTCACCTGCTACGGTCTAATTAATAACTGAAAAAATCCCGATAACCACCTCAGAAGGGTAGTCCCTAAGGAAGTGACTATCTTATTTTCGAACTATGTCAAACAATTTGTTTCTTGCAAAAACTTAAGTTGAAGCCCGTAGAAAGTGCAACCCTTACTAGGACATGAAATACCTCAATATATCGCCCGTTTTATCGCAATGGGAATCTTCGCCTGGAGCGCGTAATGATGAAAAACGTTTTATTGCCCTTTCATCAAAGTAGATGCGGAAACGTAATAGTAATAGCCCTAGACAGTACAATTTAAATAGTTAAGATAGATAAGCATTTTCATGATACAAGTTCGAAACCCTTTTTTTAGAAGGTTTCTGGAAATGAAACTATATGAAGCGAATAAGCGTTTTCGAGGGTTCGGAAACCTTTTTTCGGAAGCTTTTGAGAAAGAAGCCGAACGAGACGAAAAAGGAAAAAGGTTCAGGAGAGCTCGAAAATGGATAAGCGTTTCATATAGTTCCATTTTCCGGAACGCATTTAAAGTGTTTCCTAGAATACGCTTTTTGTAGGGTGTATGACGACGCACCAGCGAAAATTACAATATTTTTTCGTTATTTTTGGTAGCATAGTGAAAAATATTTTTCTTACAATCTACCCAAAAAAGTTTTTACAGCCCCCAAAGTTGACTTCCTGTTTACGATCCTGACTGTGCTATTGTTGAACTTGGATAAACGGATGCTGCCAACCTTCGATCGGAGGAAGGTGCGGGTGTAGTTTTTCATTTCAAAA